TTCATGCTTGTTGAGTCCCTCATGTGGGTTCTTTTGCATGATTGTGTGGGCGTGGGTGTATGTGTGGAATTTTGCATCCTGCTCACATACGCGTGCACGTGCGTCCTCGTTGCAGTCTATCGACTTTTGAGTGCGCACGTGTCGGTGCTAAGGCAGCCAGGTGATTGGCTGGCGATGTGTCCTATCGCACGCACGATTGCACTCGTGCGCGTGTCACTTTCCTCAAATGTGGCTATGGCCTAACCTGCTCTTCGTTCAACCTCTCGTCGTTTTTTGCCATTCCTCCTGGCTTATGCTGTCTACCATTGTTGGTTTTGTACTGGCTATTCTGGGTGCACCCGTCTTAGATAAAACAATTAAAACTCGTCAATGTAAGCATTCGTCCATAGAACAAAAAAATATCTGCGACACGTTTATTTTCCTTTGACACTACTTTTTTAACACATTAAGAAGGGTGTACAAATCTTGTTTGCGGTTGGCTAAACTTGGCTTTTGAGAATTTTGATGCCTTGCACTTAAAATTACTAAAATTTCATCACATAAAAATCCATCTTAAACCGGGGAATTTATCAATAGCAAAAGGATTCAATCCAATTGCTTGAAGAGCAAAATTTGTCTCAAATGAGTTGGATTCAATAGCTCCCATCAAGGATGCTGTAAATGTGGTTCGTTCCCATCGAGTTGATAGAATCTAATCACAGGAAGCCTCTCATTTGAGACAAATCCGTTGAGCGTGCAATTCTGGTGATAGTGCTATAAAATTCATTATTTAATACTTCATTCTATCATGTCCGTAGGGAAGATGCGAGTAGTCTTTTTGAGGCGTTCAAACTTGAAGTTTGAAGCCGTATATCTTATACTTGTGGACCCTTCCAAAGGAGAAAGATGGTGTAATGCCCGAGTAGAATGTTTATTGACACATGGGAGGCTCTGGAGGCTGCTGTTGCCACGGCCAGGGCACTGAATAGCCTCCTCGTGGTCCTCCACTACAACTGACAGTTTGTCAAACAATTCAATCAAGCTATTTAAATGCTATTTTTAGGCACTTCCATCTTTTCTGAACACTATTGTTGTGCCGCCTTTCTGTGCTCATAACGGAAAAACTTTGCTAAGTTTAGATGTAAACTTATTGTCGCTATCGTTCGATTTGCTGGAAGGAGATTGTAAAGCAAAATTTCTCTTTTTAAATGGATGCCTTGATACCCATCCTTTTTTGTTCTGCTTTGTTCACGATAGTAGAGCTAAACTTTTGCCCTATTGAAATGACTCTGATTAACTCTTCCCTCACTGAGTAAAGAGGCAAATGTTTGCTCATTTCATTCTCTCCTGAAATTGCATTTGGCAAATCTGTCAACTTGATCATTCATGTTGTTCGCGAACGAGGTGGTGGGCTTTTTTCGTAGGAGATTCCATTTGGGTAGGCCTTTTTTCGGATCGCAAGGTGATGATGGTCTATTCTTTCAGTTCCTCTGAATATTATTTCGTCATGGCTGAGGTGTGAATGAATCAGGGAACAAATTGGAGCAGCCTTAGCCTCAGCAGCAGCTTTGGAGTATCCGGTAAAAGGACTTCGGTCTTTTCCACTTCCAGGGAACGTTTTCTTTTTATACTGACCTGTGACCCTTAACATTTAACATCCCAACAACCGTTCTACATGATGGCCTTTAAAATGAGCATCTCTTTTTCCGGGACTGATAAATGCGATTTGTTTACTCCCCTCTTCCCCAAGCCATTGTACCGACTTGCAAACATCTAAATATTTCCCTTATTCTACTTTTAGGGCGCCATTCTGACAACTATGATTGCCACACGGAATATTTTTTGTAAGTTGCTCCTTCGCATGCCTCGTCTTCGCCCCCTCTCCTCCCACCTCTCTATCAATTGCCCATTTCGTGTGCTTGCACTTGTGTGGCATACGCCATTTTTCAAAGGCCACATAAACGCACATTTGCATTATCCACGTGGGCCTTTCATCAAATGGGTAAGTCCGTTCCCTCCTTCTCTTCCTCGCTCCTTCTTTGAGTCGAACCAAACACTGTCCACTTATCAAGGCCTTTATCCAGCGAATTGGGGTGGAAATGATCCATCCCCGCAGCATGACAAAGCTGAGAGTTTCAGAGGGAAGGAAAGTTACTCGTTTAAATTGCGTCGGGTGAGTTCAAAGGGATTTGTCGGGGGCTATCGGCGAAACTTGCTGCCAAAGCATGACCGTATCCACTTTACT